AACAACAGTCTATCATTCCTGGATGTATTAATCACCAGAACTAACACAGGAAAACTGAAAACTCAAGTATTTCGGAAGCCAACACATACAGACGTAATTCTCAACTACGGTAGCGACAAGCCAATAACCTACAAAATCAACTGCATACAAACTTTGTTCAAGAGAGCAAAGACACACTGAAGCAAACACGAGGCACTAAAAAAGGAGGAAAACCATCTTATGACTATCTTCCAAAAGAATGGCTATCCACGCAACTTAATCAAAAAACATCAAGCGAAATCAAGTACATGAACCAATAAACGGATCATCCTACCATACATAAAAGACATATAGGAACATACAGCACGACTACTGAAACCATTTGGAATAGGTGTGGCACACAAACCAACAGAATCAATTCAGTTAATCCTATGTTGACCAAAGGACAAAATGACAAAGGAAGAAAAACCAAATATCATGTACAAAATAAACAATTGCTCAGACTGTGAAAAACACTACATAGGACAAAGTGGACGGCGTCAACAGCTTCGTTTACGTGAACATCAATGATCAGTCAAACGTCACGACTATTCGCCTATATCAACACAGTTATGGACATACATTCAATTGCAACAACGTAAAAATACTGGATAGTGGGAGCACAAAGAACACTAGAGAATTTTTAGAAGCTTGACACTCAGGTCAATCAGCAATCAATAAACACATCAACATTGACCCAATTTATTAACCAATCAGAAGAATCATTGGTGACAGGATCAAGAAACAGATTAAAAAGGGGGATACAATCAAAATAAAGGTACAAAAAAACAACAACAGGTTTAAGGTCAACAACAACCAATCAAGAACGAGTTTAGCAGAACAAGTTACAGGTCAAACGGGCAGAAATTCGAATGCTTCACTTCAGCTATCTGAAGTTTGTGCTTATGATGTTGTTCAGCTCCACAAGCTCCTCAACCGGAACATCCAGCTCAGAGAATGAAACACCACTACAATCATCCACCTGAGCTACACATTTTCTCCGCCATCTCAAGATCAATAGGGATCGAATAAAGGAAATAGAAGTTGGGATATCAACAATAATAAAAAATCTAAAACGAAAGTTAAGGGGAAATAGGGAATAAAAGATAGGATAATACAA